TCGGTGAAACGTTTCATGTAGTTCAGCACATTTAGGGTAGTAGGCAATGCCTTTGAAGACCCTATTGCTTATATTCGCCAAATTATTGGGAAAAGAAATATACTTCCGTTAAATGAGACTAGAATTTCTACTGATATCCTGAAGTCCATCTTCCCGAGTCGACTGTTAGGGGCATTAGACGATTAGGAAACTTCCCCGCGAGGATAATCGCCCACGCCGGCAACAAGACAGGCGGCGAACTGATTGAAGCCTGGCACTCAAATGAGAACTCAGTCAGTTTATTTACCGATCTGGCGCCGGCATATATCGCCCTGCGCAGACATCTCCGTACTGATAGTACTGGTGGTTGATTGCCCCCCTCTCCCCTCCCCCCGCCTATAACGGTTGATTGGCTCTTGCCTCTTATAGCTGTTGCTTGTCTTTCGTTGACGCCTTTTATCTCTGACGATGGACTTCAGAAAGAGCCCGAAAGCTCAGACAAGTAAAATTATGATTCCGATGATCGAAAGACCTTCTTCTCTATCTATTTGTTTTTTGTTAGTCATTCCTATTGGTCGTTTGCGGATAAGACTATTGGCCGTGTTGCCACAAAATGCGCTTTCTCATGTGCTAAGATAGCGTTGCATTAAGTGGCAATATCATTCTTCCTTTATATTTCCTCGACGGGAGGCATCCTGAAGGACATTTTGGTGGCATTTGGTTTTTTTGGTTTTTTATGTTTACACTGCGAAACTACGGAATCTCTATAGCCGGAAATGTTGTTTTGGAATGAATTAATACAGTCGACTGCGGGAAGCGCGTCTGAGCATTCTGCCGTCTGAGCTACGAGGAACTGCTATGGCATGGATGAACAATTTTAGAATCAGATATAATTACTTTCAGGGAATCAACTTATCGATCTGGCACAAATAGTGCGCTGCTTTGGGTATATAGAATAGAATCGAACTTTAGGGATAAACGAATGAAAGCACAGAAAATCGTGAAGTATTCGCCAGCATTTCAGGGACGAACTGAAAGCACTTGTACACAAATACCACACAGATACCCCTAAAGAAATCTGACGAATGAAAGGTTCTTTAAACATACGTAAAATTTTACTTATTTTCATTTATTGATCACAATTACAGCGATTTTTCACGTTTTCATAAAACTGTGGCTTTTTTGAAAAAAAGTTTATAGTTCTCGACAATTGAATATTATTTTATTATTCACGTTTTCGCGTTTTTCATTTTATTTCCTGGTTTTCGCACACGCGTAAGTGCCCATTTGTGAGTGATTATCAATCTTTCACAAATTTCGCAATTTTGTATGTATTAAGCCATCTACCGTAGTTTACGAACGAATCATCGCATTAAAGTCCAATTCCAGTAAAATACAATAGTCCTGCGTAACAAACTTGCTCTACTGTTTAGAACGGTGGACTGAGGCAATCGATAGTGGAAACTCAGTGCACGCT